CAATGGCCGGCGTTTTAAGTAGGTTTTCTTTCGCCACCGCAGCTGAGAAACAGCTTAAACAACGAAAACACTATAAAAAGCATTGCTTTTTTGTTGTCAGTTTGGAAAAAGTGGTGTTTAGAGAAGGGAATTGCCAAGGAAATCGAAAATTACGAGCCGACCCAGCTTAACACTTTGCTCGAGCGATCCAACGCCGAAATTAAAAACAGTCATAGTTAAACCTCGGAAACGACGATTCCATTTCATCGAAAGTGCTTCGGACACAGACTGAACAATTCCTTGAACTGTTTAGTCGGACTTTGAACTTTCTTGCACCTTAAAGATGTGAAGATATCATTGCCTATTATTGTTTTGATCCTACGCGGTTGTTTTGACCGAACGCACGGTTTGAATAAATTATTTATTGCACTTGATGCGCGCGCTTTGCTTATGTTTAATTATGATAAGCCATCTCGTATTTTTCCATGTATATTATTAACACGTAATCACATGATTTTTCTCGTGCAATTTGGAGTAAACAAGCACTTGTTAATTTTTTCAAAGACCACAAATTGCACGAGCCCGTAGGGCTCGTGCAATTTTTTTAGTCTTTAAAAAAATTTACTCGTGCTTATTTATTCCAAATTGCACTCGAAATCATGTGATTACCTATACAAAACAAATGGGAAGATGCGATTTCAGGCCGCTAAAAGTGCGGGGCATTTGACCTATGCTCCTTAGCTCACCGAATGAGCGATCCTTGCATTGTTTGGTGTTATGACAAACGAAAAAGTGCGACAAACCGAGTTTTTATGGGGCCAAAAGGAACCTTTATATGATTTTGAAAGAGTTTTTACTGAACTTGTTTGAACTGAGCCCGCTAAGCAACAATCTTTTTAGTGTGAGTATTGTCTATCGTTAAGTATTAAGTTTTCAACTGCGGATATTGCATTTCTAGTGTTCTGATTGGTTCACTTAGCTCTGGTATCAGATTATATTCCAAGTCACCCTACATGAAAATGCATCGCACCAGCTGTTGCGGAGCTGAAAGACGCTCCAAATATCCAAATTATGAAGATTTAATAAAGTTTAATAAAACAGTTATTCCATTCGCGCTTGTTTGGTACGAGATTGGTTATGGCTAGGTCGGCGCCACGCACCTCGTTGGCTATTTACCATTTCATATTTGTAACATAGCTAGTAAATTTATGTATTCAAATTCAATTGCGCGAGCGTGCTTCATATTCCTATTGTGCACGCTCATGACGTCAATAAAAAAATCCCTCGAGAAAAAAAATTTTCCATCTGGTTGAAAATGTTATAAAACAATTGGTTCATATGTCAGCTGTGCGTTCATCGAGATATGAAGCACTTGGGAAGTTTGAAGAGCACTCAAGAAGCTAGAGTTGCACATCTTGCGTGCCCTCCAAACTTCCTGCGTGCTTCATATCTCGAGGAACGCACGCTGACGTATGAACCAATTGTTAACCAATGCGCACTTATAAAGAAATTGTTAAATATCGTTTTGGAATGGATAAAAAGTTTAGATTTTTTTTTTAAAGAGAAACTGCAGTTATGGAGAAGTGACACTTGTTTCACCAGACTAAAAAAGCTGAATAAGATTTGTCTCGTGTGAGCTTTTTCTTTATGCCTGTGTAGTATGGTCACCCTACACCAAAAGAAACTTCACCAACTTAGTACAAATTGAACGCAGGGCCACGAGATTCATTCTCGGTGAGGAGTACACTGAATATTAGCGCCTAAGTAAATTAAATTTATTACCTTTACAATAATGTAGGGTAATTCATGATTTAGTTTTCTCTTTTAAACGTCTTAAGAATATACATGATTTAGATATTTTTGAAAATGTATTGTTCCGTTCTCGTAACCAGTCTTGAGAAATATTGATTATTTAACATTTGAAGTCCCTTTAGCCGTACAGAAACTTTTAAGAATTCTTTTTCAAGTTACTTGGGTTTGTTGCGCATGGAACGAATTATCTCTCAGCATTAGGGAATCTAACACCTTACCAGTCTTTCGCAATAAATTGTTTAAATATTTCTGTGATAAGTTCAGTGCCAATTTTTATCGCAAGAAATTGTTTAATTATTTTTATGATAAGTTCAGAACCAATTTTTTTATTGTAATTATCTTATTTCTATCATGAGTTTAGAGTATTTTTTTTGTAATTAGTTTTTGACACTTTTTCTTTAATAAGGTAAATAATCAGGGCGGCTTAAGTATTTAAGTAATTTTAAGTAGCTTAACTATTTCAAAGGTATTTTTGTAATTGTTTTTTAACACCAATGTTTTAAGTAGGTAAATAACCAAGGCGGCTTATTTTAGGGAATCTTGTAATCTGTTTCAAGCTATCCTCAAATTGATTGAATTGACTTGTTCAATGTAATCAATTTGGAATTTGTATTAAAGGTTGAAGATTAAAGATTGTTGATGTCTTGCAAAAAGGCACAGTCAAAAAGAGAGAAAAAAAATACCTGGAATATGAGAAGAGTTTTTACCACAAGCGTTTCGAGCGTTAGCCCTTTGTCATAAGCACAGGGCTGACGACGATTTGAATTATCAACTCAATTGATAAAATGGCATCTCTATACAACAGGAGTTTGTTTATGATATCGCGCACAGTGACCTTGCCAAGAAAAGTTTAGAATTAACGGTTTGGGATCATGATGTTGGAAAAAGTAACGACTTTATAGGTAAAAGACCTTAGGTTTTCTGTACCGTTTACATAATGACGTTTGCGCTGAGTCAGGAGGATTTAGAGTCGCTTCTATTGAGTTACCTTACAGACTCAAGAGATGGTAAAGCATTGTGGGTAACACTTACCCCCTTCCCCTGTGCCATAAAAAGATGAGGAATATTCATGATTTGGTTTTGAATTCTAGGATGCTACACCCTCCCCTATTATGTCAAGGAGAGAAATCCGTGGAAATTAGTTTAGCATATCTTTGAAAAGTAAAGAGAGCTTCTTGACCAATTACCTTCAAAGCAAAAACCCAAAGTAATCATAACAGCCATTTGAGACAAAGGTAACTTTCACAGGGAGCCCATGGTATACAAAGTAAGCGCAGGAAGCTGGCCTTAAACGCTAGAAAAGGCGAGTGATCAAGGCTCGATTGGGTAAGTTTGGCATCTGATTGGATGAGAAGATGGCGCAAGTTCTCTTGACCAATAATATGGCGCAGTGAAGCTAAATCACTGCAGTCCCACATTTCCTTCGACACTCTTTCTAGAATTGCTTCAAGTCAAAGGAAATATTAAACAATAGCATGTCTTTCGTAGGTGGAGTTGTGATGGATATTAACTGGACCGGAAGTACATTGATGCACTGGTAAGCCATGCTGGAAAACCCCAACCAAGCACACACTTATTGGCACACGCTGGAAAAACTAACCAATCACGAACAGGAATAAGATGTTGGGCTTAGTTATAATAAATATTCGAAGAAGTCTCATGTCAGTTGTGTTACTCAATGTCACAGCGGTTCACCAAATACTAATCACTTCTCGTATAATAACCATCACTAAGCAATGGAGAGTGTAGAGACCAGGAGATAAAGCTAACTGTGTTTGCCCATAGTGCTGTTTACGACTGAGTATTGTGAAAGAAAAAACCAAAACAATCACCAATGAAATGAAAGGAAGATATCTCATGGAGCCGATAAGAACTCAGAGTGAAAATAAACTGTTCGAGTGAAGCGCACGAAAATGCAAGTGACCAAGTCATGATTGGTTTTAGTTTTGCATCTGATTGGTTGAGAAAGTAGAGCACGTTTTCTGGACCAATCACAAAGGGAAGAAGAGCAAACCTAGCAGTCCCAGATTACCTTCGACACTCAATTGACTTGCCCAAACGGCTGGCTGAAATAGTCAATTCCTAAACTATTACCGAATTTTCATCAAATTAGAGAAACTTTCGGACGAAAAAGGGACTTTAGGGCGGGGTAAATCTGAAAAAAATGCCCATTTTTCACTCATTTTTCACAGCTAGGACTTACTTCAAAACTTAGGCAAACGATATATCCCTGGAAAGCTTATGACTTGAAGATCATGAAAAAAAAATATTTCAGACTCAACATGTCAATTGTAATAGGATACCACTCATTTAATTGAGCCACCTGCTAGGTTCTACCAGGGGTTACTTAAGAAAAGATAACTCCTTCTGGAATTAATAAAAAATAACGTTTTTAGTATCAATTCAAAGAAGACATGTTGCTTATTGTTATAAGCAGAGGGATTTCTTATATGTTGAAAACATTTTAAATGATGATCAATTAAATTTGACATGGAAAATCAGAGGGGTGTTTCACTTCATAAGTTTAAGTACATACATCATATGGAAAATTGCTCTGCTTATAACACAAAACTTATCAAAAGGAACAAATGCTGAAAATTTCAGATCAATTGGATCAATTGTTGTCAAGATATCTTTTCTTGAAGACAAAATTGTTGCATAATGAGAAAATAGCCTTTAAACTTACAGATAGCAATCAAACTTAATTTTCTACAATATGTAACCACTATAGTGGCCCAAGTGTCCATATTTTGTCCACAGGAGTATCTAAAAGTAATTTAAAAGTCTCCCGGTTCCTAAGCAACTCCTTCAGCTTCTTGAAGGGCTTCCTCTCGACGAGTCCTCAGAAGTCGCTCCCCTTGACGCCATCTCTTTTCCTTCTGCATAACCTGCAAATCAGACTTAACCAATCTTTTACTGTCTTTTGCGTGTGTTGCCACTCTTGTACAAACACCACCAGGGATACAAAGCCTCTCCATGATTTTTAGCCTACTAGAAGCTCCATTATGGTAGTGGCAGACTGCTGATGCCGCAGCACACCTAATTACTTTTACACCATGGTGTTTATGTTTAGGACACTGTACCCACACCATTGAGTTAACACACTCATTGGGATTTTGTGTTGATCCCAACACACACCTCTCTAGCAATTTAGAGTCACTTAGAGTCATAGAAGTGGGTTTCAAGACTTCAAGAAAGACCTCCGGCAATCAGTTACCACTACTGTATGTAGATGTTCCTGTTGCTTCATCTTGCTTCCATTTACACCAAGAGGATTCCCCTGGTGGACAAAATCGATGCTGTTTGGCGAGGTCATTTGACTCGACATTATGATGGAGTATTGCAATAATGTTTTTTTTCATTGTATAAACTGCAACCTCCACCTCCCTTCTTGCTGGATTGGATTTCCTGATGGTATTTTGTCGATTTGCAGGTCCATAATCTTTCTGGAACTTCTTTATTCTTGTGTCAGACAGTCTCCCTATACCACCAATAGGTTTACCATCAGCTAGTTTCCCTTTAGTTCTGGCCTTCAGGTTCAACAGATGTTTGTCCATCCTTTTTTGGACATGTCCCACGCAGTCTAATTTCTTCACTTTGATTTCTCCATAAACATTTTCCACAGAATTAAAGGCCTTGCTATCACCATCGCTCACCATCCATCTGTACCTCAGGTTGTGACGTTCCACTGACCTTTCCCACAAGACTACAGCTCCTTCACACTCCATTGCTGGTGAGCTACCAGCAAAGTTTATGTCACATTCATGTTCCAACAACCACTCCTCAAATTCTTCCTCATTTACACCTTTTGCTTTCTTTAAAGCACATTTCTGACATGCCTTTGAAAGGACATGGTAGTCCAAAACTTCACCAGTGTCCACTGAAATGACAAAAACCACTCCAGTTAATGAGGTAAACCCTCGTTTGGCCCAAGTGCCATCAAAACTTACAACAGCATCCAGAGTATCATCCAGATCTTTTTCTGGGTTTTCTTCCAAAATCTGCTGCCCAAGTCTCTCTCCAGCTTTTCTCATGTCCTCCTTTGCTTCATCCTCAAGAGCTTCCAGGATGTTGTCCACTTGTTTGTAGTAAGCAGGCTTAGAAAGGCAGGGCATGTTCATTATACCACAGAATGTGGCAAGGCCTTCATAACCACTGCCACTCTCTATAGCATGGTAGACAACTCGGCAGTTAATGTCATATGATTTCCCTCGCTGGGTCACACCACTGGATGTTGGAAGTGAACTGGATTCCTCACAGGAACTGCATTGAAGGGAAAACTGTGACATCAGCCCTGCTCTTGCACTTTTATCTTCCTCAAGAGTTAAGGTGCCTAAAGACAAATCAAGTGAAAATTGTAAAATAAATCGGGCAATTTTATTATAAACAAAGTAAAGACCTCAAGTCAGAAATACACATTCTGTGATTTTTTCCCCATAATTTTTTGTTTACAGTGTATATGCACAATACCTAAAAATCTTTTTCTTACCCAATCCAAGATTTAATAGATAAATCAGCGTATTTAGCAGGGAAAAACTGGAACTAAGGGTCGATATGATATGGGAAATAAGTCATAATCGAGAACAGAGAAAGACAGAGATTTCAAAAAATTTCTCACCTTTCTCACACACGTATACCTTTGAGACGGCCGTGGATAAATTTTTCACATTTATTAATCTATATCCCTCGCTTTCCTCGGTATTGAAGGTATACTCTACATCAGAGCTGTCTAAAAGAAGCTCTTCGTTGGCATATTTCATTTTCTTTCTAGAGGAACCAACGGTTTCTTTAGAGTCCGAGTCGGAGAGCTGATTTTCATTAGTATTCTGACAGCCCCCCCTTTTTACCGGCAGTCAAATTTCTACGGTCACCCTCCTTTACACTCTGTCAGCGACGACTTATCCCGCCCCTCCCTCCCCCCTTGAAAACCACGTGATACCCCCAAATCCTCCGACCCCCACCCCCCTCCGTAGGTGATGAATAGTAACAGCTTCCTTGCACGGGGGGGAGTTGAGGGTGCAGGGGGAAGGAGTTGAGGGCATAGGGGAAATTTATTTTTTGTCATGTCGGTAATTTTCGTTATTTTCAATTAAAAATAAAAATGCCTTTTGTTTGTTACTCTATATGTATGCCACATTATTTAGGAAAAAATATACATTTTTGTTTTCATACACCTCTCAATGTCAATTGTCCGTTGTCTCATTACTGAGGAGACTGACAGACACGATTAAGGAAATGATAACAACGAACAATTTTGTCAATTTATAGAAACAAATTGTCCGATATATACAGCGGGCCAAACAGTTAGCTGACAGAGCGACGAATTTTCGAAAAAAGCTTTTCATATTCCCTCTGACAGTGTAAAAGAAAAACAGTTGCATAGATTGTTAACAATAATTTGAAAAGTTGTGTCACAATAGTGTATTGGAAATTTTAAAATGTAATCTTAGGTATTAACATAATATATGTAAAGCCGTTAGCTATATAGGACCTTATAACAGGGAATGGAAATAAAAAAAGCAGGAGTCGCCCTGGTTGTGTTTGTTGTGGTAGTCCCGAATCTAAGTCGCTAGCTTGCTTTACTTTGATAACCGAGCCGTTGAATCTCCAACCTGTAAAAGTTATGTCAAAATGCGTTTAAAAGCCGGTTTTATCAAACTTAGGTCAAAAGTTGGCGGTGACGCAACTTCGAGAGGGGGGCAACGCACTCCTGCATCGGGGCGACGCAACTTGGGGCGACCTAGCAAGCCTACTGCCTTGGAGGCGACAAATCGCTAACACTCAAGGCGATGGACGTCATTGAGCACGTATCCTTTGCTTCAGAGGAGTTGGTGATACGACTTAGTCGCTCTGTTTCCTTCCACCCCTCTGACGGGGAACTCTCTTTCAAGAGTTGCACTCTACGCTCATAGTAGTTAGATCGATACGTCTTTCCCGCACAAATCCAAGCGCGAAACAGAATTAACTGGTTTTTGAGCTGAGACCTGTACTTCTACTCCTTTCTTTTAGGTCTAAAAATAAGACTTCGGGCCCATAAAGGTGACGGAACATAAAAAAAGGGCTGTTGTCTTATTAGCTTAAGTCAACGAAATATGTTCTCTGAAATGTTATAGCAGTGTACTGTTCGAAAACGTGTTTTTAAATCCACTTGACTCGATTAGAAGATAAAATGTGCATTCATTAGAGCGACAAGTGTTTCAGTCTGGTTCAACCAAAATTATTACAATGCATTTTTTCACTAACCCAGGCAAAGTGCGTCATCCAACCAAACTGGCCAGTTGGTTATAGGAATGACGGCATAAGGCGGCCTAAAGAGTATGTTTAGCCCACGTAATAACCACAAATGTATAAAAACCAGAAATTGCTTGGAACAGATCTTCTAAGAATTCAATTTTATTCAGAACGCTAAATCTTAAACAACACGTCCGTATTTAGGACGTATTTTTTGTCAATTTATGAAAAGAACTACAGAAGTAGGTTATACTTCATACAGTTTTTTCGTGTGTATTTTTAAACAAACGTTTGAAAAGTCTCCGCTTTCTTGATCCTTTCCAAACTACAGTGGTAATGTTTCGCATAAAAATAGTACTGGCAAGCAAAAGTATTCAAACAAGAAGTTGTGCTTAAAGTACGTTAACATTGTAGTTTATCACAGTTTAAGCCGTGGGGAACATTTGATGGATTTTTATTTACGATAGCAGGGTCTTCCTTAGCCACGCTTGTGGATGTTTGTTGTGCTTTTTCTCTTTCCTTTCTTAGTTTCCTTTTTCTCTTCTTGACCTCAGATCTTTCCCTGCAAGTATCAAGTGTTGGATTGTCATGATCTATACATTCTATCTAAAAGTTGTCCGCTGCGATTTGTATTTACTATACAGCTTGCCATAGTTTTTTATACTGTGGTTAGGATTAAGCAAACTGCCTTGAAGTAGATTTTGCAGATTGGCTTCTTAATTTTCCTTGTTTAATGGTTAATTACATAGTCTAGGAAACTTTCACTCACCCATGGCTGGGTATCTCCTTGAAATCCAGAATAGCAGAGTCTTCTTCGGCCACACTTTTTAATATTTCTTTCCTTTTTACTTTACTTCGCCTCTTCTTTTCTTTAGACCTCTTCCTGTGGAAAGTAATTTCCATACTCCTTCGAGCTTTATTTTTGTCTGAAACCTGTCCATGATCTCTAATTAACTACAGCTTGAAAAAGCAAACGAACTCTGAGGTTTAGTGGCATACTTACATGCTTGTTTTATGCCACTGTCAATCATTGTGGTAATTTGTATGAAGGCAATGAATATCCTTCTGCCTGTGCTCAAATGCATTATAGCCTGATCTAGTCTAAAGCTAAGCTGATTTTTACATCCTGTGAAAGTTAATGTAGTATGATAAAAGATGGTGGTTTGCAATCGTAGTGAATACACTTTCTATTTGAAAAATGATTGTTTGTCTCACGGTGTAGTGAATGTTTTTTTTCGTTTGTCCACCGATCTGTAGTAAAACATCGTGAGACACACAATAATACTTCAAATTAAACAACTATTTACCAAAGTGGAGGTGAATAGGAGTTGATATTTACCGAGTTGCGACTCTGAGGTGAATAATTGTTTTAAGTATATACCACTGAGAAGCCAGAGAGATTAGTTTTTTTCTGTCAGTACTCCCAAAACTTGTTGGTAATTATATTGCTGACGCGCGATTTTGTCTCTTCAGCTACTACAAAGTGAATAGTACTTGCCAATCACTTCCGAACCAATCAATTAACGCGCGCGAAAAGCACTATTCATCCATGTGATATACGCTAAATTAATTAATTGATGTTGTAATTTCCCTTCCACCTGGATGAATCGCCCTTACCTATCATTGGATATGATCTTAAAGGCCTGGATTGCAGGATCTTCTTGTGGCAAAGTTAATCTTGTTGACTTTACTTGATCTGAACTCAAATCTTCCACAACAGCCGACTCCATATGTCTCTCTGCTAAGAGAAGCTCTTCCCAAGTAAGGCGGAGCACCTTTATCTCCTTAGCAGCTTCTTTGTTGTCCCCAGAGGTCTCTTGGACTTGTGAAGTTTCCATTTCTTTCATTTCGGTATCTTGGGAAACTTTCTCGTCATGACTCTCACCAGAGTAAACTTGTTCGTTATTGGGTTGAATATCTGCTTCTGCGTGTTTCTCTGATTCCATGTGTCTCTCTGCTGAGAAAAGCTCTTCCCAAGTAAGGCGGAGTACCTTTATCTCCTTGGAAACCACTTTGTTGTCCTCACAGCTCTCTTGGACTTCTGCAGTTTCCATTTCTTTCATTTCGGTTTCTCGGGAAACTTTCTCGGCATGACTCTCACCAGAGTGAACTTGTTCGTTATTGGGTTGAATCTCTGTTTCCACGTGTTTCTCTGATTCCATGTGTCTCTCTGTTAAGAGAAGCTCTTCCCAAGTAAGGCGGAGTACCTTTATCTCCTTGGAAACCACTTTGTTGTCCTCACAGCTCTCTTGGACTTCTGCAGTTTCCATTTCTTTCATTTCGGTATCTCGAGAAACTTTCTTGGCATGATTCCCAACAGAGTGAACTTGCTCGGTAGTGGGTTGACACCCTGTTTCCATGTGATGCTTTGGTAACAGGAGATCTTCCCAAGTAAGGCGGAGCACCTTTATCTCCTTTGCAACTTTGTTGTAATCCTCACAACTCTCTTGGACTTCTGCCGTTTCCATTTCTTTCATCTCGGTATCTTGAGAAACTCCCTTGGCATGACTCTCAACTGAGTGAACTTGTTTGGTAGTGGGTTGAGTCTCTGTTTCATATTCTGCATCGACCTGATCCGACCACTGGAGATTTCTCGCCACCTCAAACACAGTGATATCCTCTAGAGGAATCTCCCTTGAGGCAATATCACCCCAAGATTCTCCTTCGGTGACGTCCAGCCATTGGTCATGTTCAAAGGCTTCCCCTTCTACTTCCTTAGTTTCAATTCTCGTGATTGTCGCTTCTTGAATAGCTGTTACCTTTACATGAATCTCAGGGGAGGTGATGTCTTCGCAAATGCCTTCCTCTACATTTTTATCTTCTTTAGTAACCATAAACCATTTAACATCCTCGGTAAGCTCGGCTTTAAACTCTTGCACATCATTGCTCTCTTCCTCTAATTTGCTGTTGTTATTTTCATCTGCAAAATGATACAAATCCAATTTTGGCCCTAAATTATCTTTTCGGTTTGCTGTTTAATGATCGCACTGACCCTAAGTCATTATTACTGTAATAACTCGTCCTCTTGGAAAATTTTTCTCCCAAACAAAACTGATCTTTTCATACCTTCGTTACATGTTTTCGTCTTCTCGATCTCTTTTATCTCACAGCTGAAAGGGAAAAATATCAGTTGTATTTCATTTACCTCCCTTTTTTTAAATTTTTTAAATTAATTTTTTTAAAATAAAAACTAGTGAGCAGCACACGTCAACAATCTTGTCAACTAAGTTTATTATCCGACCGGTTTCGTCTGATCACAGACTTCATCAGGGATTTAATCGATGAACAAAATTAACCTACTAATAAACTAGGCGTTTACAGTACAAATCACGTTCAAATCGTGTGGGGTGAGAATAGCAAAAAACACCCACAAATAGGAAATGTTACGTGAATCCAGCGCAACAAGTTGGAAATGTTACGCAAATCCAGCGTAACAAATTAAACATTTGTTTATTTTGGGGCTCACGATTTTTAACGATTTTCCGCTCTTTCCCTCTCTCTCTCTCTCTCTCTCTCTCTCTCTCTCTCTCTCTCTCTCTCCTCTCTCTCTCTCTCTCTCTCTCTCTCTCTCTCTCTCTCTCTCTCTTCCCTTTCCCTCCCTTCACTTTTCTTCCTTCCCAGTCCCTCCCCTCCCTTCCCCTCCACTCTCGGCCTTCATCTCCGCTCCTCACATAAAGCTTCAAGACCCGTTTGAATAATTTTACTGAGTAAAGTTTTGCATTTTGTTTCAGTCTTTCATCAAGTGAGGTAGTAAGAGAGTGCATTTCTTTTCAATAAGCGCGTGCGAAAAGCACTATTCACCAATGTGGTATACGCTAAATTAATTAATTGATGTTGTAATTTCCCTTCCACCTGGGTGAATCGCCCTTACCTATCATTGGATATGATCTTAAAGGCCTGGATTGCAGGATCTTCTTGTGGCAAAGTTAATCTTGTTGACTTGACTTGATCTGAACTCAAATCTTCCACAACAACTGACTCAATGTGTTTGTCTGATAAGAGAAGCTCTTCCCAAGTAAGGCGGAGCACCTTTATCTCCTTAGCAACTTCTTTGTTTTCCTCACAGCTCTCTTGGACCTCTGCAGTTTTCATTTCATTCATTTCGGTATCTCGAGAAACTTTCTCGCCATGACTCTCACCAGAGTGAACTTGTTCGTTATTGGGTTGAATCTCTGCTTCCGCGTGTTTCTCTGATTCCATGTGTCTCTCTGCTAAGAGAAGCTCTTTCCAAGTAAGGCGGAGTACCTTTATCTCCTCGGAAACCACTTTGTTGTCCTCACAGCTCTCTTGGACTTCTGCAGTTTCCATTTCTCTCATTTCGTTATCTTGATAAACTTTCTCGGCATGACTCTCAACAGAGTGAACTTGTTCAGTAGTGGGTTGGGTCTCTGTTTCATATTCTGCATCGACCTCATCTGACGATTGGAGATTTCTCACCACCTCAAACACAGTGATATCTTCTAGAGGAATCTCTTTTGAGACAATTTCGGCCCTAGATTCTCAAAGGCTCCCTCTTCTACTTCCTCAGTTTAAATTCTTGTGATGTTCCCTTCTTGAATGGCTGTTACCTTTACATGAATCTTCGGGGAGGTGATGTCTTCGCAAATGTCTTCCTCTACATTCTCATCTTCATCAGTAACCATTAATCACTTTACTTCCTCAACAATCTCGGCTTTAAACTCTTGGACATCATTGCTCTCTTCCTCCAACTTGCTGATGTTAGTTTCATCTGCAAAATGATAGAAATCCAATTTTGACCCTAATTTTATTTATGGTTTACTGTCAAAATGATCAGCACTGACCCTGAGTCATTGCTACCGTAATAAATCGTACTCTAAGTGAATTTTTCTTTCAAACAAAACAGATCTTCGTACCTTGATTACTTGTGCTCGTTCTCTCGATCTCTTTTATCTCATCACTGAAAGGGAAAAAATCAGTTGTATTTCATTCGCTTCAGCTCCTTCACATTTGTTTATATTTTTACCTCTACAAGGTAAAGAGGTCAACTGTTTTTCGTTCGCCTCAGCTCATCTACATTCCCTCCCCCCCCTCTCCTTCCCTCTCAGTCCCTCCCCTCCCCTCCCCTCTCCTCCCCTCCATTCTCGGCTTTCGGCTCCACACCTCAAACAAATCTTCAAGACCCGCATCAATAATTTTACTGAGTGAAGTTTTGCATTTTGTTTCAATCTTACTTCAAGCGACGTAACAAGTGAATGCATTTCTTTTTTCAAACATTCAGAAAGGTAAACGAAGTGCAAGCAAATCTTTCTTTCTTTCTACTATACTGAGCGGAATGGAGAAGAAAGGGATATCTTGTGGAATAGGAAGTGAGCAAAATTATTGTGTCTTTTTAAAGAGAACTAAATTTGTTTCAAAGTCGGATTATGTTTTATACGCATCTTTTTGTTTACAAAATATTAACCATTGTAACAGATGTGGAATTTCAAGTTACTTTTGCGAGACACTTTTCGGCGCGCGATCGACCCGCTCAACAAGAGAAAATGCTTTAATAAGCTTTTTTCCTGTGGTAACAACGTAACAATCTTTCAGCAAGTTTTGAGCCTTACCTTTCTTCTTTATTGCAAAATCCACAAAATACCAAAGCTTGTAAAGCTTCTATGAAGGCGCACCAAAATCTTGCGAGAGGCATTTTGAGTTTTACTCTCCTTGCGGAAAAATGGATCTCCTTCGAATAAACGTCACAATCAGATTTTTTTCATAAGCACGCGTTCGAACGATTGTGCGCCAGTGATGACAATAAGTCCGAAATTACGGAAAGTGTAGATTTGTGTGACTATGATTGCATAATTCAAGACAGAAATGTTTTTTTTCTTGTGTGGTTTTCTTTTATTTAAGGCCAACAACCTGAGTTAAAAGTTTGTAGCTCTACTCTTTATTATACTTATTTTCGTCTTTTCCAGGCCCTGTGCGGCCATGTTTTATCAGCGGTTGGTTTCTGTTGAAACGACAATATTTAATATTTTTTGAGTTTTACTCTCCTTGCGGAAAAATGGATGTCCTTCGAATAAACGTCACAATCAGATTTTTTTCATAAGCGCGCGTTCGAACGATTGTGCGCCAGTGATGACAATAAGTCCGAAATTACGGAAAGTGTAGATTTGTGTGACTATGATTGCATAATTCAAGACAGAAATGTTTTTTTTCTTGTGTGGTTTTCTTTTATTTAAGGCCAACAACCTGAGTTAAAAGTTTGTAGCTCTACTCTTTATTATACTTATTTTCGTCTTTTCCAGGCCCTGTGCGGCCATGTTTTATCAGCGGTTGGTTTCTGTTGAAACGACAATATTTAGTAAAATCCATGGTAACAGATTAAAACAAATGGGAAGATGCCATTTCAGGTGGCCAAAAGTGCGGGGCATTTGACCTGGGCTCCTTTGCTCACCGAATGAGCGATCCTTAGATTGTTTGGTGTTATGACAAGCGAAGAAGTTCGACAAACCGAGTTTTCATGCAGCCAAAAAGAACCTTTATATGATTTTGAAAGAGTTTTTACTGATCTTCATTGAACTGAGCCTGCTAAGCAACAATCTTATTAGTGTGAGTATTGTCTATCGTTAAGTATTAAGTTTTCAACTCCTAATATTGCATTTCTAGCGTTCTGATTGGTTTACTCAACTCTGGTATCAGATCATATTCCGAGTCACTATAACATGAAAATGCATTGCACCAGCTGTTGCAGAGCTGAAAGACGCTCCAAATATCCAAATTCTGTAGATTTAATAAAGTTTAATAAAACAATTATTCCATTCGCGCTTGTTTGGTACGAGATTGGTTATGGCTAGGTCGGCGCCACGCACCTCGTTGGCTATTTACCATTTCATATCCAATGCGCACTTATAAATAAATTGTTAAATATCGCTATGAATGGATAAAAAGTTAAATTTTTTTTTTAAGAGAAACTACAGTTATGGAGAAGTGACACTTGTTTCACCAGTGGACTAAAAAATCTTATTAAGATTTGTCTCGTACGTCCTTTTTCTTTATGTCTGTGTAGTATGGTCACCCTACACCAAAAGAAACATTACCAACCTAGAACAAATTCAACGCAAGGCCAAGAGATTCATTCTCGGTGAGGAGTACATTGAATATGAGCGCCTAAGTAAATCAAATTTATTACCTTTACAATAATGTAGGGTAATTCATGATTTAGTTTTCTCTTTTAAACGTCTTAAGAATAGACATGATTTAGATATTTTTGAAAATGTGTTGTTCCGTTCTCATAACCAGTCTTGAGAAATATTGAATATTTAACCCTGAAAAACCCAAAGTAATCACAACAGCTAGTTGGGACAAAGGTAACTTTCACAGGGAGCACATGGTATACAAAGATGGTGCAGGAAGCCGGCCTTAAATGCGAGTGATCAAGGCTCGATTGGGTAAATTTGGCATCTGATTGGATTAGAAGGAGGTGCGAGTTTTCTAGATCAATCAAATGACGCAGTGAAGCTAAATCACTGCAGTCCCACATTTCCTTCGACACTCTTTCTAGAATTGCTTTAATTCAGGTCTCCCTCATGACAATTTAGGTACTTAAGAAAATATTAAACAATAGCGTGTCTCTCCTAGGTGGAATTGTGATGGATATTAACTTAACCGGAAGTGCATTGATGCACCTGTATGTCATGCTGAAAAACCCAAACGAAGCACACACTTGTTGGCACACACTGGAAAAATCTGACCAATCACGAACAGGAGTAAGTTGTTGAGCTTAGTTATAGGAAATATTCGAAGAAGTCTCATGTCACTTGTGTTACTCAATATCACAGCGGTTCACCCAGTACTAATCACTTCTCGTATAATAACCATCACCAGGCAATGGAGAGTGTAGAGACCAGGAGTTAAAGCTAACGGTGCCTGCCCATAGATCTGTTTTCGATTGAGTGTTGTAAAAGTTTTGTAAAAGTAAAACCACAATAATCACCGAGGAGCCGATAAAAACTCAAAGTAAAACGAACTTTTCGAGTGAAGCGCGCGAAAATGCGAGTGACCAACTCGTGATTGGTTTTAGTTTTGCATCTGATTGGTTGAGGAAGTGGAGCAAGTTTTTGAACCAATCTCAGAGGGAAGGAGAGCAAACCTAGGAATCCCAGATTCCTTTCAACACTCATATGAGAATTGCCGAACGGCTGGCGGGAATAGTCAATTCCTGAACTATTACTGAATTTTCATCAAATTACAGAAACTATCAGACAAAAAAAGGTCTTTTAGTTTGAACTGATAAAACTGTCTAGGCAAATCCGTTTTATATGGTAAACTCCGTGAGCACTAAAAAGTTTGTTTCCTTCTGAGAAGTAGATGGGCAAAACAGACGAATCACAATTGTTATTTATTTTTGTTAATAGCGGTCGAATTATAATATTTTTTAGTTAAAACACAGAATGGCACAAAATAAACAAACAAAAACAATAAGCAAACAACATGAACAGTTTCCTTAGAAATTTTGAGAGAATCTGTTGATAGGTCATTGCTCCTAAATAGAATCATATTCCAGAATGAGACGGAGACACTCAACTTGGATTGGAAGTTTTCCTGATTAGGAAGGATTCCCAGCTTAGCTGAGATACACTAATGACTTTATTCTGAATTGGCCACTGAGTTTAACAAGGTCATGATGTTCCTAGGTTCAGAGGTATTCAAGGTATAAATAATTTCATGCGTTAAGGTCAGATTTGGATTCTCCTCAGAAATTATTTTTATCACCTGGGAGGAGGGACGATAAGGGGTCGGAGAAATTTAATTTAAATTTACCTGTCTCCCACTCACCCAAGGCTCTGTAGTATTCTAATAATCCCCCCCCCTTATTGGCAGTCAAATTTCTATGGTCTCCCCCTTTGCACTCTGTTAGCGACGACTTATCCCGCCCCTCTCTCCCTTAATGAAAATCACATGATACCCCAAATCCTCCGACCCCCAACCCCCCTTCCCCCGTAACCGATGAATAGTTACAGGTCCCTTGCGCAAGGGGGTGGGGGAATTGAGGGCGCAGGGAGAAAATTTATTTTTTTTGTTATGTCAGTAATTTTCACTATTTTCAACTACAAATAAAAACGCCTTTTGTTTATGTTATTCCATATGTATGCCCATTACCTCGGGAAAAATATACATTTTTGTTTTCATACACCTTTCAATGTCAATTGTCAGTTGTCTCATTACTGAGGACTGGCAGAAACAATTAAGGAAATGATAACAACGAAGAATTTTGTCAATTTATAGAAACAAGTTGTCCAATATATACCACGGGCTAAACAATTAGGTGAGAAAGCGACGAATTTTTGAAAAAAGCTTTTTTATATTCCCTCTGACAGTGTGAAAAGAAAAACAGTTGCATAGATTGTTAACAATAATTTGAAAGGTTGTGCAACAATAGTTTATTGGAAATTAGGTATTAACTTAATTAGGTACTAACTTAATATATCTACAGCCGTTAGCTATATAAGACCATATAACAGAGGAAAGAAATAAAAAATACAGGAGTCGCCCTGGTTGTGTTTGTGGTGGTAGTCCCGAATCTAAGCCGCTTGATTGCTGTATTTTGATACCCGAGCCTTTGATCTCCAACCTGTAAAATTTATGTCAAAATACGTTTAAAACCTGGCTTTACCAAATATAGGTCAAAAGTTGGCGGCGACGCAACTTCGCACTCAAGCTTCGGGGCGTTCGTCACTGGGGCGACCTAGCAAGCCAACTGTCTTGCTGGGCGACAAATCGCTGACATACTCGAGGCGATGGAAGTCATTGAGCACAGAATCCTTCGCCTCAGAGAAGTTAGAGACACAACTAAGTCGCTCTGTTTCCTTCCGCCACTCTGACCGGGAACTCTCTTTCAGTTGTTAGTTGCACTCTGCGCTTATAGTAGTTAGATCGATATGTGTTGCTTACATAAATCCAAGAGCGAAACAGAATTAACTGGTTTTTTAGCTGAGACCTGTAATTCTAATCCGTTCGTTTAGGTCTAAAAATAAGACTCCGGGTCCACAAAGGTGACGAAAAGTTAAAAAAGGGGCTGTTGTCTGAATGACTAAAGTCCACGAAATATGTTCTCTGATACGTTATTGCAATGCACTGTCCGAAAACGCGTTTTTAAATCCATTTGACTCGATTAGAAGATTAAAAGTGCATTCATTACAGCCACAAGTGGTTCAGTCTCGTTTAACCAAAATTATTACGATACAAATGTTTTCCTCTTTTCCACTAACCCAGGCAAAGTGAATTAACTAGCCAAACTGGCCAGTTTGTGAAAGGAATCACCGCATAAGACAACCTAAAGAATATGTTTGGCCCACGTAATAACCACAAATGTACAACAACCAGAGATTGTTTATAACAGATCTTGTAAGAATTCAATTTTATTCAGAACACTAAATCTTCAACAACACGTCTGGGTTTAGGACGTATTTTTCGTTTATTTATGAAAAGAATTATATCAGTAGGTTATTCCTTATGCAGTTTTTTTGTGTGTGTATCTCCAAATTTATTTTGCTATCTTGATCCTTTCCAAACTACAGCGGTCGTTTCCTCAGTCTCTTATGTCACCACTGAAAGGGAAAAAATCAATTAATTTTCACTTACTTCAGCTCCTTTAAATTCTCCCGTCTCCTCGCATTTCCCCCGCTTTTCCCCTCCACCTTT